TCAACCAAAGAAAAGATCGACTGAATCGGTACGCGACTATCCTTCCGTTTTCTTACATATATATATATATATAATAGTCGATTATATCTGTTTGCCCTTTATGTTCCTATCTCGAATCGATTGTTTCGAAAATTGTTTTGGGAATACTGAAATAATGATAATGATTTATATATTGTCCTACATATGAATGTCCGGAACTCTTGCAATGTTAACCGTTACATAACTGTAATGGATCTGATGATAACATACTACATACATTAGTGGAGTACGTATGAGATTGTAGAAATCAGAAGAGCAAAATGTCGTGTCTAATTTTGCATGTTTTCAAGGATCCGGAAAATTCAAACTTGTTGTCGTCATTTGATAACAAAAAGCGAAGAAAAAGAGCTCCATACACATAGATTACGACCCTTTTTACGTCTGCATGAGATACATAAAACTTTATACTATTACATTATTATATTATATATATATATATATATATGTGTGTGTGTGTGTGTGTGTGTGTATAAAGAATATGTAAGACTTTAGCTATGCATGGATGCATGGTGGTTGGCGAGAAAAAGCAGCCTTGTCGAAGAGGATAAGAACACATAACTTTTCTCCGGTATTTAAAGCCATCCGACGTATACATTTGTCTCTTAATCCTTATCCATTATCCAAAATTCAAATTTGTTGCCACCTTTTTATGTTTTGGTATTTTTTTTTATTTGTTAGTTTTACTCGTTTTTCTTATGATTATACCAATTTTGACCACCTTGCACACCAGCATTTTAGTTCGATGATACACCATTCTACGTTGAATAGAATTAGCAATGGATATACGGAATCATATTATGATTTGACCAATAAACATGATACATATATATACATATAACACATATCGCATACATGTACTGTATATATATATCATTCTTTGGGAAGTCGGAGGGAAAACTGTGATTCACTTGTTAAATTTTGATTTTGATTTTGATTTTTTTTGTGATAAGACTTATATGGTGTTTATGATGTGTATCTCAAGAGAAAAAAAGTGAATTTATCGTGGATATTATATTATAATTAAATTTTATATGATTAGATTGGACCACTCGATACCGCCAAATGTTCCCTATTCAATATCGTCTCTCTAAACTTTAAGAAATCGAATTAAATATTTGAGTAATTGCATGATGCATGGACAGCACAGATATATAACACTTTTTTTTACCATTTGTACGTAAACGTTTAATTTAATTTTGTAGATTATAATTAAAAAACCATTGTCCGACGTCCAAACTCATTTGCCAACCTTTTTTTTATATATCTCTTATTACGGGAGATAAAAAGAAGATGGTTGAAAATGAAATTGCTACAAGCCTACAAGGCTACAAGTGTTACGCTCTCAACTTGTCTGGCTCCCGGAAAGTGGTAACTTTATTCTAATATTGACCGGGTAATTATATTAATTAGCCTAATGGTTTTTAGCCCGAACAATCAAAGAAACGAAAATATAAAGAATGAGAGAATTTGTTCTCAATGAATGAATATTCATTTATGTAATTTTATTGGATTTTATAGGTTTTGGAATAATTGTTGACTAAAATGTTGAGTATTGTTTTTTTTATCTTCTTGCTCATGTACAAAAAACAAAATAAACTCCTAATAATCAAATTTTTTATACCTGCATATATATTATATGTATGTGTGTGGGTAGTAGGATCATATACATTTATATAGATATTAAATGGAGTGAGCTCTATTATAGAGTGAGCTCTATTATAGACCAATCACATCGTTTATATGTGTAACATGTTATGAGCCATCAACTCCTTCTTCATTAAAGAAAATATGTAGTGATCAAATGTTATCGTTGTTATTAGTATTTCAATATTTCAGACATGACACATGAAGAAGTCTACCTGTGAAATTCGGGGTACTGTAGAGATAGAACGAATCCTCGGTCATGTCGGGTCAATTGCCGTTTGGCCTTCGAGGTTGCTTTAGCCCCCCTATAAAGTCGATCAAGGGTATTTTCGTAATTCATGATTTTTTTTATATGTTTATAGTGAAGCTGCCAATTGTATTTTTCATTATTTGAATTGAAAGTTCCCAAGACCGTTACGTCATCAATACGTGGAAACGAATGTTGCATGAAAATGATTTCCATTCATAGGAGTAGTACACGATATATACAGCTGATTATTCAAATTATTTTCACCACAGTTTGAGTTTTCATCATAATACGTATAAATCGTTCATAAATTATACTCGTCATTTTCACCAAAAATAAAATAAAAAATTATACTAGTCATTTGTTATACAATAAGATCCGTCAAACGAATAAAAAAAATGCATCCAAACGACTTTTTATATTGATTCATTTGAATTGCATCGACTGAAATTGTTTTATAACGTCCATATATTTATTTTGTCATAGCAGTTTTTGCCTTATCAACGTAAAATTATTATTTTTTTAAGTTAATTTTGTACAATTTACTTTTGTATAACGACTTTTTTAAAAAGTTGTTATATTAATACAATTTATTAAGGGGAGACGCAATTGCAGGGAAGGCAAAGCCAAGCCACCAAATAATATTAAACGTTCAAAACTTAACCTTTCACCAAATTTATAATTTTTTAAAAAGAAAACAGCAACAAACAAGCAAATTAAGAAAAGTAATCATTTTTTCTTCGTGGCCACTTGCATATGCACACATGAAATTATAAATATTCCCATCGTCCCCTACCATTACAAACCTTACATTTCTCTCTATGCCCCTTCCCCCCCAACATGATCAAAACAAAACCATTCATGAGAATTACAATTGTTCATGTTTTCCTTCTGCTTTCCCTCACTTTCTCAGGTGACGTAACGTTTTGTTCATTGGCTTATTTTGCATGTTCGTGGCGTTCTTTGTGTGTTTCATCATTCATGCTGTGTACACTTTTTGATCCTTATCATATGGTTACGGTTGTCGTTATTCTTCATTAAATGTCGACCGTCGTGTGTTTTTTTTATGAAAATGTAAAATGTGGACGTTGTTTTTGTTATATTCTGATTCTTTTTCATATATTTTTTTTGGCGTAAAGCAGAATACGGGATGCTATTACAAAGAGTGGAATCTCTTGGAATAAACTACGGCCAAGTTGGGAATAATTTACCCCCACCGAACAAAGTCATCGACCTCTTGAGCTCTCTGAGGATCACCAAAACAAGAATCTACGACACTAATCCTCGGATCCTGAACGCATTCGCCAATTCGAAGATAGAGATCATCGTCACGATCGAGAATCAAGTGTTACCTTCGTTGACAGATCCTCAACAAGCTCTCCGATGGGTCGATTCACATATCAAACCCTATTTCCCTGCCACTAAGATCACAGGAATCATGGTGGGCAACGAGTTGTTCACTGATGAAGACTCCAGCTTGATCGGGTATATACATATACATATGCGTATATCATACGTGATCCATGTCGGAATAGACCGTACGCGTGACTATACATATATGTACACATTGTGCATATACAAGACAAAAGAATCGCATCTATGTTTCTATTGTGCATATACATTACCTACTGTTTTGATTGAAGATAATATACACAAGAGGCAATGATATGTTTATATAGTTGTTTATGACTTTTTTTTGTTTCTAATATTGAATACATTTTCCAACAGATATTTGGTACCGGCGATGATGAACATCCACGGTGCCCTGGTCCAATTAGGAATAGACAAATACATTCAAGTCTCGACCCCGAATTCCCTTGCTGTCCTGGCCGAGTCATACCCTCCGTCGGCCGGAAGTTTCCGGCCCGAGGTTGCCGCCGTCATGCAACAGCTATTGGGTTTCTTGGAAAGCACGAAGTCTCCATTTTGGATAAATGCTTATCCTTTCTTCGCCTACAAGGACAACCCCACGAAAATCTCATTGGATTACGTTCTCTTCAACCGTAACCTAGGCATGACGGATCCAAACACAAGGCTACACTACGACAACATGTTGTACGCACAGGTTGACTCGGTCAACTTCGCAGTGGCGAAAATGGGTTACCCCAACGTGGAAGTTAGGGTTTTGGAGACAGGGTGGCCGTCCAAGGGTGACGTGGAAGAGACAGGCGCGTGGCCTGCAAACGCCGCCGCGTACAACCGGAACTTGATGATGAGACAATTCGCCGGAGAAGGAACGCCGTTTAGACGTAACACGAGGCTCGAGGTTTATATATTCGCATTGTTCAACGAGGACATGAAACCGGGTCCAATTTCGGAGCGCAATTACGGGTTATTTCGACCCGACGGATCTTTGGCTTATGATTTGGGTTTCTCTTCCATGTCTACTACTGCCGCTTCGGAATCTTTTTCTCTTTCCTATTCGTCCGCATCAAAGGTAAAATCTTTTTTCTTTCTCTTTTAAAGATTGAATCTTTTTTTTTTCTTCTAAAGGTGAAAACTTTTTCCAAAGGTAAAAAGCTTTAACATTAACTATGAAACCGGTTACATGATAGATATACTAGCTGTTTATATATGTTCATGATTTGATTAACTTAAGGGATAAATTTCCATATCATTAGTGCATAGATAGTTGATTTATTCTTCTATCATCTCGTATTTAAATAGTTATGATTTTTAAGAATATTATGATTTATATTTAGGTCGAAATGAGAAGGAATATTGAAAAGTACGTATAAATTTGGTAAGAATGGATTAGCAATAAGATTTCCGAGGCTCAATATATATATATAATACAAGTTTGTTTTTGGTTAAATGTGATCCATATAATACAAGTTGGAAAACATAATTGATTGTGGTTACATTGAAGGCCACGTACGTGCATGTTTTCTATTTATTTATTTATTTTTGTCAAAACATGTTTTTTATTTTATAAGTGCAACAATTTTTTTTTTGATGTTTTTTAATTCCAAATGGACCGAAATCAATTTGAAACAGGCGATGGAGAAGAAAAAGACGAGCTTGGAGTATTGCACGATTTTGATCATGTTGGTGATGATACAAGCGATAATATCAAGAAGATTGTAAAGAGAAGAATTAATTAGCATCTTTAGGACTCTAGTAATTAACGTTGATGAATCAATTATATATGTAAATTTAATAATTTCGAAGAAAAATGAAATGATTTATTCATAAAAGGGAAAAAAGATTCGTTATATTAGATATAGGAGCGAACGTATACATATCAAATTGGGAGACGTTTACCCTCTTTTTTTTTTATAAAAAAAAATGAATCCAGAGATCATCGCGTAGCTATAGCTTTCCCTGAACAATTGATCTTCTCCTAGCTTTGACGTGCTCCCTTCACGTTCTATCCTCGCTGTTGAATTCTTCACCTATTGTTACCGCACACCAAATTATGCCGGAGAATGAGAATCCAAGATCTTACACTAGTAATTGATCTATACGAGTTTTTGTTTTGGATAACATTTGGCCAAATGGGGCTTGAAGCTATATGGTGAGAACCGCTTTGTGATATCTTCACCGCTAGGCCACCCCACTTGGATAATCTATACGAGTTTTTGAACCGAGAGATGTGAACCCACGGAAATGGAATCGGAATAGGCTGCGGAATTTACTCCAACGGCAATCAAAAACCCGACCTCGGAATTCTAATACCTACCCTCAATCAAACAACCCTGGTAATTGTGTAATAAGAAGAACACCGTTTCACAAGAAGTGAGATTGTATTTTGGTAGTCTGTTTGCTAGAAGAGAGTGTTGAAGTGTATGATGACATGATGGATGGCCTAATTTGTGGTGATACACAAGCTGATTTGGTGGACGTAATTTCATGCCAACGTTTATTTATTTCCTTTATTTGTATTATGGAGATTTCCTTTATTTGTAATTAGATATTTTCTTTTTCTTTATTTCTAGACCTTCTATATATTTTGTACAATATTTTGTAAATGAATCAAGAGAGTAATTTTTCCATTCTCATTGTCTTCTTCTTCTTTCTCGGTACTATACTCACCGAGATAGGTTTTACACTTCTCTTCCATTTAAACGATTATAAACTCTCATATCACAAAAGTTTACATGGTATCAGAGCCTCAAGAGCCATGGTAATCTATTTTTTATTTGCTTCCGCTACTTAACATATATTATGTATATCCCATTTGGTCACATATAGATTTAAAGAGGAGAGTATTGTAATGGCTCATTATTTGTCTCAAGAAGACTTCAATACAATCGTCACTTTCGAGTATCTTCGAAAATTCCGAATCATCGATGATACATGGCCTCAAACAACCAAAGAAGAAAGGGACCATGCCCACGATCAAGTGATGGATGAACTCGAGAAGATTCATCCGGATTTGAATCTACAAAAGAGGTTATTATTCAATTTTCTTGGATTTCTTCCGGGTGAGTACAATAATCTCATCCTTCAAATTTTATCATCAACTTCTTTACCATCCGTTCAAGAAGCACGCATGATGTGGCATAAAGTAAAAGACCGTCTCTCTTTGCCATGGCGAAGAAGAAATCAAACAAATCTCCAACGGCGAGGAAGAAATCGAGCAAATCCCCCCTTGTTTTCCCATCGGCTCCACCTCCGGAACAACTCTGTGTCGACCATCCCACTCCATTACCGGCGATTGCAGCTCCTGGGTCGCTCTCTCTACCGCCGGCAACCTCTCCGTCGGGGGTTCCAGAGCAGCTCATGCCCCCTATTACCTCCACATTTCTTCCGTCGGATTTCCCCCCCCTTCCATCTCCTTCGGGTCAAGCTCCGTCTTCATCTCTGGCCCCTGCTTCTCCATGCATCCAGGTGCCTCCCCTCTCCTCGGCTCCCTTAGCGGACCGTGTTATGTCTGCTGCTCCCCAAGCTATTTCAGCCACAGTTTCCAGCGGCAACTCGAATCTGAAATTTCCTTGGGCAGATCGACTCCGGCAAC